AGGCGCCATCACACGGCCCTGGGGGACAGGCCGCACAGAGCTGTGGGTCCCAAGGCGTGAACATAGAGGCGGGGACCGGGGAGGCACGTGTGACGGCACAGGGGGTTTCGGGGCAATCGACAAGGTTTTCTCCTTCTCCGGGCCATGGGCGCGGGGCTGCTGAGTTCATTTTTATTGCTCTTTAAAATGAGATCTCCCCGGGTCACAACCGTTGGTGTGTCTGGTACGCAGGACGATGCGTGCAGGACAGTCCCCAAGGAGCCACCGCAGCCTCTCTACATGCGTTGTCCTCAACCCTACCGCCCTCGTCAGGGCCCCTGGGAGGGTCACGGGCCATGGGCTGCTGCTGGGCCAGCGAGGACTTTCCCCAGCGGCCTTGGTGCCCTAGGCAGAGCCACGTGGCCGAGGTCAGGCCAGACGCGCGTGCACACACCGCCCTGATCCCGGGCCACCGTCCTCATGGTCGTCGGACTTCCTAAGAACAGGAGGCGAGCTTCTGTGTCCTCGAGGCACTGAGATTCGGGCTCGCATGTGACAGCCGGGGTCGGCGACCCAGGCCTGGGAGCCGCGTCTGGCCTGCCGCTTGCTCCGATGCGATCCTGAGCTGAGCACAGTCTCCTGTATTTCATGGAATGAGTTTTACTTGGTTACGGAATGCCTGCGTCATATCTTCAGCGGTGCCTCTGGGCTCATACGGCTTAAAGCATTTACGATCTGGCTCATTAAGAAGAGGTTTGCAGCATCTGGTGTGACCACCTCAGGTGAGTCCCCTCAGAAGCTGTCTCTGAGACCCGGGTTCGAGGGTGAGTAGTGTATTTGGGGGTGACCCCAGGAAGCGTCGATGAGGCAGGAAAGGAGAGGAAGTTCATGCGGGGTGCGTTATCAAGCAGGTTACCACTGTGAGAAATTGGGGTGCAGGCCCCTGGGGACCTGGGGTGACCATGCCGACCACCTCTCACGCATCCCCTGCGAGGGCCGTGGGAGCTGGGAGTTCGTCCGCCAGTCCCGTCCCGCGCTGGCTGGAGGCTGCTTCGGGACGTGTGCCTCCTGGTGCGTCCGTCCGCCCTGCGTTCCGGGCTGAGCTCAGGTGCCACCATCCGAGGGCATCGGGACGGAGCCTGCCTGGGGTGGGCAGTGTCGGCGAGCCACCCTAGCAGATGCGCCCTCACGCGACAGACGAGCGGACCGGGCTCCGGGAGGCGGAGGTGTGCGTGCGTGCGGGCGGTCAGGGAGAGCCTGGCGGCTGCAGCTCCTGGCACGTGGCCCGCGTGCCCTCCGGCCTCGCCGCAGCTGCCCTGCTCCCCGGGGCTGAGACAGGCGTGTGGGCACACCTGCGTCTCCGGGCACCGCCGAGCACGTCGGGGGCCGGCCCGTTTCTCCTCTCTTTCAAAGCGGGGAGGCGCGTCATCATTTCAGGAATAAATTCACTGGCCTCAGACTTCATTAAACACCAGTCAGACCCAGGGCCCAGAGCCTAACGAGTCCCAGATGCCCAGGGGCGGCCTTCAGATGTGGATTTTCCATGTAAGGCCCGGGCGATTTCAGCCCCGTGCCAGAGCTGGGCTGGCACGGTGGGTGTGAGCATCACGTCCCCACGCAGCTCCTCGGTGCTGGAATGAACTTCTCAGCTCATGGTCCTGTGGGCTGGAGAGTTTATCCAGGGATAATAACCATGGGCTCATGAAATCATAGGATTCCTGGGGCTGGGTGGGGCCGCAGCGCCCTCTGCTCGGGCTGCTCTTTGGACAGAGGGAGAGCGTGGCCCGGGGGAGGGCGGGGCGGGGGAAGGGCGTGCTCGGTCTTGAAGGGACTTTGAGGTGGAATCGAGACTTATTGACAATGGGAAGCTGTTCCTAGCAACTGCAGCACCAACCAGAGCCTCCCGCCCCAATCTGGGTCACAGCGGCCGGTCGGGGACGCGCCCGTGGCAGCCATGTGCGTGGGCGGCCGGGGACAGGAGCGGAGGGAGCGTCTGGGCCTGGGAGAGTGCTCCTGGGGACACAGGGCTGGCCCTGTCCCGCCTCGGAGGACACCTCTCACAGATCAGGGCCCGGTTCCGGCTCCGTCCGCTGTCGGGTCTTCCTTCCCCCGGTGCCCCGGCCACCTTGCCTCTGCCACCTTCTAGGAGGTCCCCTTCATGGTCACCTCTCTGCCAACTCACGAACAATAGTTCTTCTCTCCGCAGGGAGAGTGGGCTCATCGTGGACGATTCAAACCACAGAGCCGGGTTCACGGTGGGGGACACGGCCCCAGATCTGACTGCCGGGCGGCGCCACCAACACCCAGGCCTGCAGCTAGACAGACGAAAGGTGACCGCTGGCTGGCGGGCGGGCCAAGCCCCGCGTGCCGCTCCAGGAGGTGGCTTGGAAGACCCAGGCTCCCGCTGTCTGGGGGCTGTACCCCAGGGCGCCCCGAGTCCCGTACAGAGGGGGAACAGCATGGCCACAAAGGCCTCGACCTGGAAGATCTTCACGGCACTTCCCCTGACCTCCCATGGGCGAGAACTAGTCATGGGGCTCCGCCCAGCTACCCCAGAGGCCGGGAACCGTGCAGGCGGGGCGCGGCTCCCCAGCCATGACTCCTCGCCAGGGACGGGGAGCTGGGCCTTGTGGGCAGCTGGCCACTGCGGCTGCAGGCTCAGCGCTCCGCATCTCGGTCAGTAGCACCTCCTTCGGGGCTTTTAACCGTCTATGATCTCATCCATTTTGTGTTGATCTGCGGTCGAAAGATCATAATTTAGGAACATCTATGCTCTGTCCTCAGAACTTCTGTGTCTAGTGTTTCACTCCGGTGGCAGCCGAGGAGAGGGGACGGGCAGAACCTCGGCCAAGTGCTGGCTGGAACTCCTGGCGAGACTTTGTGGGCGAGCAGACTCTCCCACCGCCCCACCGGCTGGCTCTCCCACGCTGCAGAGCGTTTCCACTGGGATCAGGGGAGCAGAAGGTGGGCGTTTGGACAGAGGCATCTTCCTGGCTGAATCAGGAGAGGGCAGATTCTGAGCATCTCTGCCACCGCCCACGGGCCCGTGGCCATGGCAGACATCGCCGATGGAACCCTGAGCCCAGAGGCACCTCAAATCCTTAACACAGAGCCCCGGATGAAATAAGTGAAGACCACTTAAATGAGACAACCAAAGCCTCTTTGTTCAGAGCCGGCCATGGCAAGGGGGTCGGGTATCACCCCTTCCATTCCAGAGGGAGACAGAGGAACAAGAAAGTTTTGTAGTGGACGAAGGGCGGGCTGAGGGCCCGGGGCAGCCGGAGGCGGGCTGACCAGGAACAGGGCGTCCTCTGTGGTTGGTTAGGGGACGCCTTTGATTTTCCGTGATGGATCCCGAATTGGCAGTGAGGACCAGTGTTAGGGAAGCTGCCTGCTGCTGACCCAGTCTGCGTGGGGCCGATGGGCGCAGGGGGTTTTGTTGGCTTCCTGGTCTGACTTCATACCCGTCTGGGCTCGTCGCCGTGGGTGGCGGGTGGGCTGCCCGCGTGGGCTGCCGCAGGGCTGGGGGTCAGAGACCTATTTGCATGCACGGCCTGGCTGCTGCCCGTTTGAACACCTGGGCGTGGGGCGGGGGCTCTGCCTCTGCTTGTAGGGGGCTCCGACATGAAGGTTGTTTGCGGATCCCGCCGTGGGGAGCACAGCCCCACGGTGCGTGCTGCCCCGGGCCTGCTCTCCGAGGCCTGCGGTCTTTACTGAACGGCCGCGGCCCGCTTTCTAGCCCAGGGGAGATACAGGGAGGAAATGGAGGCCCAGATAGAGGCCTGCTGTTGATGAGCCGGTAGGCCGGCCGTAGGAGGCGGCCAAAGTCTGGACACGGGGAACCCCTCTCTCCTGGCGGGGCCCTTCCCCGAGGAAGCAAGCCGCGAAGAGGTCGCCCCGTGGGGGGTGTTGAGGCACCATCGGGGGAGAAGCCCCCAGTCTGTCGAGCCACCATCCTGGGCTCATATCCAAGTTCTGCCACGTAAGGTCGGGCTGCCTCTTGGCCCTTGTGTCCCCGTGTAAGATGGGGCGACACCCCGTTCGGGGAGGTTAAAGGGGTCAGTGATGCAGGAATCGGGCCCGTGGGAGCTGCTGGAACCGGCTCCTTCCCGCCAGCCGCTGGTTTTCCCTCTCGGCCTCCGGAACCTCAGCTGTCACCGTGGGGAAGGGGCAGCTCACGCAGATGCTGACGCCCGCCAGCGCCGGGAGAAAGGGTTCCTCAGGATTTCGGGGGGCCACGGAAGTAGCAAGTGGCAGAGCCCACACATTAGCATGAAAACTATGGGGAGGACACTCTGCAGTCCGCTCAGACGCGTGACACCCAATGTCAGACGAGACACGTAGTGGGGATTTGAGGACAAGTGTCCAGCTCCTTGTCAGCAAAGGATTTTGGGTCCCGCTAGCTAATGATGAGGGGGACGCGTCTCTGCGGGGTCCGGGTCCCTGTCTTCTGTCTGAGCGGTTTTGAGAGAGTGGGTTTGGGGTCAGCCGACTCGTGTTCAAATCCCGGCCCTGCCACCTGGGATGCCGGGCAAGCCACTGTCCCTCGGAGGCTCCGTCTGTGAAGCTGGGGTGACTGCCACGTTGGGGTGTTGGGAGGAACCATAAGAGGACAGTGGAGTGCACTTAGCCGGAGACCTGCCACGGTGACCGCTCGGCACGGACCTCCCAGCGTCGTGACGAGAGGCGAGAGTCCGTCTGGTCGCTGTGCTGCCGTGCCTGCTGGGTGTCCCAGCCTGGCGGGGTGCGCCCGGGGGCCGGGGGCTCTGCGGCCATCTGACGTAAGGACGCACCGGAAGAAAGTCCCGGTGGAGCCTTCGTCCCCTGTCGCCTCCAACGAGCTCCGCGAAGCCAGCGCGGCTCTGCTCCCTGTGTGGTCCAGGGCTCTTCTCGTTTGCTTGCTTGTCATCCCGGGTCCGCGCGCTCTCTGGGGGTTCGTTGGAATGTGAGCCCCAGAACAAGGTCCCTCTGTGGCCAGGGGTGTGGCCCTAGGACAGCCGTCACAGAAGGGCCACCATCGATTGGCCCCGAGCCTGGGAGGCAGTGGGCGTGGAAGGAAGTCGCTCGCGAACACCCAGGGCCCCACGCCGTCAGGCGGTGTCAGAGTCGGGGCTCGCGGACCCTGCGAACCGAGGAGCGTTTTCCTCATTTCATAGGTGAAGAAACTGGGGGGCGCAGCGAAGTGACGTGCCATGGGCCACGTGTCGCAGAGGGACAGAGTGGGGAGCCAGCGTGTGAACCGGCCTTTGGCCGCAGGGGCTCCCACGTGACTGCTCTGGTGTCCCCAGCCCCTCCCGCTGGGTGAATATTTGCCAGACGGTAGAGCTGGAGAGCCGGTCACTGCCGACTTGTGCTAAATTCTGTGCGCCCTCGGAGTCGGGAAAGTGGGTGTCACAGAGGGCGGGTGTTCCCGAAGGCCTGGCCCCCTCTGAGAGGCTCCGGGTCCTGGCTCGTGAGGCTGAGCCAGGAGGAGGAGGGGACCCCGCCAGAGCCCCGGGCCTGCGAGGAGAGGGCCCGTCCCCGGCCCTCCGCCGAGCCCCGTGCATCCAGCGAGCCCAGACCGGCTTCTGTCAGCAGCAGCGCCGGGGAGCGGGCCCTGTGCTCGCGAGAAGCCGGCCCGCCCAGCCGCATCTGCTGCGGATTAAGGACGGTGAGTGCCCGAGGCCCCGCGCTGCTGGTTTGCGTGTCCAGCACGGACAGCTGGGATGAAAGCGAGTCCCGGGGCTTTGTGCACCCCTCTCTGATAGGGAGCCCAGCGAGGGTTTGGGGCAGGGTTCTTTGTGCTGCCAATGCATTCCTGAGAGTCCAGGGTGACACGAGGCCTGAGCTGTGCGCGGTGACAGGCGGGGGGGTGCTGCTGGAGGAGCTTTTCATTCATTCGTTCATTCATTCATTCATCCATCCATCCATCCATTCACAGCAGATAGCTATTGAGTCCCTGCTCAGTACCATAACGGGAAAGAAAAACCGACCCAGCCTGATCCTGCCCCGAAGAAGCTGGCCGCTGGAGGGGAAGAGGGACTTAGCCAAGTGCCCCGAGACCTGCCTGTGATCACCGACGTGGGAGGTGCCCGGAGGGCAGGTGCGTAGGGCTGTGGGAGGAGGTGACGGGCCAGCACTCATCCTGGGGGCCAGGGGGGGCTTCCTGGACGAAGCAGCGTGTGCTCAGATTTTGACGGGCGAGCAGGAGTTAGTGGGGTGGAGGGCACCGCCCGTGTTCTGTGGCCAGTGTCAGGGCACCGAGGAGGTCAGCGAGGCTGGTGCAAAGGCAGCGACGGGGAGGCAGAGGGACCGGTGCGAGGTTGGGGCAGGACCAGGCGGTGCCAGAGGCCGGGTGGATGAGAAGGGGGCGAGCCAGGCGGGGG